ATTTTTTTTATTTAGAAAAATTATTTTCTCCTAAATAAAAGCGAATAAAGGCGTACACTGGCCAAATTTGAATGTGAAACATTTACATTTAGATATAAGTTTAGATAAAGGCAATCTAATGTCCCAATTGTAATGTCCTGGAAAGATTCTTTTGGTTTCTTAACCAGGTAATTGGAAAATAGCAACAGGAGCCCCTAAAGAATCCATCACAGATTTACATGTTAGGACAGAATCTCATGAGAGAATGGAGTAAGTGTTAAACACTGAATGGAATTCCTTCTCCAAACACAGTCAACAGTGGGAAAAATCCCTCCCATGCATGAAGCATTCTCCAACTTAAAAAAAAATGTACTAGGATATTTATTAGCACAGAAAAAATGTACCGGAAAGGGACAGCCAACTCTAGTGCCTAATCTGAATGTGCAGTTCTATCAGTAGATCCAGCCAAATCTATACAGGAAGCCTAACTTACAGGGTAGCTTAAACAGGTGCAGAACAACTCACTGTACTTGCAGTAAGTCTAGTCAGGACCAGTCTGCAAGTTTCTTCCACTACACCCTAGTTTCATTGTATGATCACTTCCTTATAGTCACACAGGTTTCAAAAAATAACTAGATAAATTCATGGAGGATAGGTCCATCAATGGCTATTAGCCAGGATGAGCAGGGATGGTGTCCCTACCCTCTATTTGCCAGAAGCTGGGAATGGGAGACAGGGGATGGTTCACTTGGTGATTGCCTGTTCTGTTCATTCCCTCTGGGACACCTGGCATTAGCCACTGTTGGAAGACAGAATACTGGGCTAGATGGACATTTGGTCTGACCCAGCATGGCTGTTCTTGTGTTCTTATGTAGACCTCTGTAACTGTTGTTTTCACTGTTTCATGGCTATTAGCTCTTGGTATGATAGTACAATTATATTCTGGATTACTGGGAATGAAATCCCCAGTGCATGTCACTAAGTTTGAATCTAACAAACACAATCATTAGCCACTCATCATATCTACTGTCAGCTGGTTGACTCACAGCATACACTACTTTTACTATATCTTTCTGAATCATAGCAGATTGCTTAGTCATGACCAGATGCTATCAGTGGCTCTGTCATCTCGTCTTGTGATATGTTACAAGCTACTCCAAACCTCTATTTCATCAACATAAAGAAACAAGCTCATCCCTGGTATAAATCCATTTAATTTAATGGAGAAATTTTTTCTTGGCACTAACCTTACCTATGTAACCTTGTGCACTTAGATGTTTATAATCATTGGAAGATACAATATTGTAGGTTTAGCAGTTCCTTGATTTTTTTTTCAGATGTATAACTTAGCATAGAATTATGAAAGGTTATTTGTAGGAAGGAAAACTGAATTCTCTAGTTCATCTTAACCTTAACAATTAATTAGTCGGCATTAGTTCTGTTGGCATTGGCGTAATATAGCTTAGAAGCATATTTGACCCTATATTGTGTTGATGGTACATTGAAAAGCAATGTCATTACAGTACTAGGAGATTCAGTAAAATAGTCAAATGCACCATGTATTACATTGACAATGGACTCCAACAGATAGACAGGTGCACAGAATATGGGATGATGAATGTACTGACCATGGCCTTTTCTGACACATGAATAAAAAGAGGATTTTTCTCCATTACAGACAATTGCCTGGTGCTAAGAACCATCATTTCACTGAAATGTTAATGCAGTATGACATGGTTAGCTTATTGCCTGAGGGTTATTTCATTTCCTTCTCTTACTGTCTCTGGAATGCCCACTCCTCCTCTGAAAGGATCTGACTCATCCACAGTCTCTTCATATCTCACTCCCTCCAGCTCCTGGCACTGACAAAGTGCTGGATCCCTTAGTCTGACATGCCATCTGCAGCTGCCCTCTCTTACGGAGCTCTCTCCTTTTCTCACATTCCCTGCTCTGGCTCAGACCACTGTGGTGGTGTCAGGCTTCTCTTCTCCTATTCTTGGTGCTTCCAACCCCCCTTCCTCCCTCTTCCCATTCTTTATTCTCTTTTGAGCAAGACTCCAATTGACTCTTCTCTCCCTCTCCATGTTGCTGTCATCTACACCCACCAACTCCCCCCCCCCACTTTGATTGTAGCTCTCTGGCTCTCTCTCTTCCTCGCTTCTTCCTCTTCTCACAATCTCCCACACTTCAGTGACTTCAGCTTCCATGTTGATGACTTGACCAACCCATAGCTGCATGTCTCCTTGCCTTCACCTCTTAATTCAACCTGCATCCCAGGTCATCAAAAGGGCCATTCACTTGACTTGGTCTTCACCACACATGGCTCTCTCTCTCTCTGATCTCTCCGTTGCTGACTTCCCCTTCTCTGACCATGACCTGGTCTCTTTCAGCATCACCCATCAGTGCTCTGCCCCCACACCTCAACCTTTCTGTGATGTCCAGTTCATCAGTGTTGAAGACTTTTAATCTGCTCTCAGTCCTCTCCTCCCTGCCTTCTCTTCCCTTTCTTCCATTGTTATGGTTGTTGATTCTCTCCAATCCTCACTCTTCTCCACCCTTGACTCTTTGGGGTCTGCTCTGCCTACTCCCAGCCCTGGCTCACCCTTAACACTCACTTCTTCTGTTCCTGCTCTCATGCTGCTGAGCACCTCTGGAAGAAATCCCATGACCAGGTTGACTTCCTCCGCTACAAATTCATTCTCCCACTCTTTCAGTTCTGCCATCTTGCTAGTTAAACAGCTCTATATTTCCAACTTCACTGAATCCCATGCCCATGATCTCAGTCACCGGAGAGGGAAATCTCCTCCACAAACATAAATATGCTGATGACTCAGAGATCTACCTCTCTATTCCAGACTTCTCACCTTCTGTCCAAGTTAAAAACTTGGCCTGTCTCTGACATTCCTTGTGGATGTCTAGCCATCAGCTCAAGAGCAACATTACTAAAAGAGAGCTCTTACTCTTCCTACTTTCTTTCCCCCAACCCCTCCACACCACCTCCATTCTTGGTCACTTCACTCTGGACAACTCCGCTATCCTGCCTTTCACTCAGGCCTGTAACCTGCCTGTTAACTTTGACTCAGATGTCTCTCTAGGTCTTCATATCCAGGCTATATCTAATCCTTGCAGATTCTTTCCACATAGTATCTGTCAGCTATGACCTTATTTATCCATCCACACAGCGAAAGCTTTCATATAAGCTCTCATCATCTCAGCTCTCGATTACTGCAACATCCTTTTCTCTAGCCTTGAAAAATGCAATCTTGCCCCACTCATATACATTCAGGATGCAGTTGCAAAGATCATTTGATTGAGCACAGCAGAATAGCACCTTCTTATTAACTGAAAATAAGTTGAGACATGGTATGTTTGCCTCTAAAATTAATCAGGCATAATTCAGAACACCTGCAATTATACATTAATGCATAGGGCAGAAATCCTGTAAAGCCGGAAAGCACCAACTAAAAAAAAAAAAAGGTACTCCATTTTGCCTAGTCTCTTCCCTACATGATAACCGTGCTTTGTGTTGCCACATTATATTTCATGCTTCCAGTGACATGGAAGAATATGCTACATACACAGAGTTCATCAGGTTCAGGAATATTTGCTATATACAATCATTTCTACCCAGCCTAAGGTAAAAGAAATGCTATTCATTTTAAGTTTGAAATTATTTTTTTTTGCAGTGCAGCAAATCCTTCCTGTTGTCCTTTGGGTTACATTGTGCTCATAAAACATTAATTCATTTTTAGTGTTTCTAATAGGTGTGACATAAATATTGCATCTTTTAGTCACAATGAAAAGTTCAGGCACCTTACAATGACAAAAAAGCGTTAACTAGTCTTACCAATGTTTTTATTACACCCTGTAAGGTTTTTACTGGTACAATGTTAAGTGAAGAATTCCTCTCCATGTATTATACCCACAAACAATTACTTGGAAGCAGACTGACAATAGCTTCCTTGGATTGATTTATGTTCCACTTGATATAGAGAAAACCCAGAAAGTTCCTCCTAGTTGAATACCCATCAGCAGTTATTCCGAGAAAATATATGTTCATTTGTTGTGAGGTGTTACACTGGTGTTTGGGAGACACCTCACTGATGCTAGTAGGCATAACAGTTGCCTTCCATTCAGGCTAGATGAGGGGGAAAATTAAATGTCCTTTTGTTTCAAGATAGCTGAAAGATTAGAAGCCACCACCCAAAACACAGGACACATATAAGGCTGCTCAGGAATCTGAGCTATGATGTCAGAAGGGTTTCACTGTGGGTTGAATGTAAATGCAAGGATGGGGGATTGATTTGCTTGCAACTGTGTCTCTCTAAGAGGGAGAAGGAGCACACAGAGCCGCACCAAGGTAGCCCCAGACACAGCCAGAAATGCCCTGGTAGTGTGGCCCTGCAGAAAACCCTTGAGAGAATGCTTTTTGAGTAGAGTGCTGGCTGAAAGATATGTAGAACTGTCAGGAAAAAAAGCTGTCTCCTGTTCTTTGAGTCCTACTGTGGTCAGGGGAACAGGACTTTTGTACATGTTTTATAAACACACAGGATTGTGTCAAAGAAATACCTGATTCTATCATCTATTTCTCCTCCTAACAGAAACAACTACCAAGATCTTGAATATTGGCTAACTGCTCAGGAAAAAAGTGTTAACCTGAGGCAAGACAATTTAATTATAACCAGTAATAAATATTCCACAGTACTTATCATGCAGGCAAGTTCATACTCTCATGGTATCTACTCCTTGCTTTATGAAAGTCTCACGTGTCTTTCTCAGGTTGGATTCAGAAATCATTCAGATAGGCAGAAAAAGTTATTTCTGGTCAAATGTAAAGAGTTGATATTAGAGAACACCTCTCCCTAACTATGTAGGTGGAAATATGGGCAGTCGTTCATTCATTCTAATTTTTTTTAAATTCTGTCTACCAGCAGAAATTAGTGCAGAATTAAACCTTATCTAAACTTTCATAAGCAGTGAACTGTACTTCTACCCGACAGGATCTGTCACTTTAGACTTACCGTGCATTTGTTTGGCTTCTCTCCTGAATGAACTCTCATGTGAATCAGCAGTTTGTAACGGGCATTAAATGGCTTGTATCGTCGAGGGCATCCTGCCCAGAAACAAGTGAAGTCCTCTCCCTTTCTCTGGTCTATATGAACCTTTTCTATGTGCCGCACAAGTTCCTCTTGCTGGTCATACAGAGCACTGCAATCTATCCAGCGACAGCAGTGTTTACCATTGAAATCATCTAATTCACCATCCTCATCCAACAAAGGGCCCTGGGCAGAGGAAGGCAAGGCAAGTTGATGGGAATGGTTTATGAGGTCATGCTGATGTCGGTGTTGATGTGCATGGTAAGGGGGTGGTGGACCTTGTGGTGGAGGAGGTGGTAGAGGGGGAGGAGGAGGCATGTCAATTGTGCTGCTTGAAAAATCATCCACACGTTCACTTTTCAACATGCCCCTTGGCTGGCTGTCTATCAGAGGCATACCTTGTTGAACCACCATGTTGTTCATGACTGCCGACTGCAAGCTACTTTGTTCCAACTGCTGCATCCGCTGGTATTCCACAGTCCCATTTTCACCGTAACCTGGGAGGGTGATGTTGCTGTTAGCCACAAGAAGACCTTTCTGAGTGTTTGGAATAGAGCAAGGCTGGGGAATACAGCTTCCTCTTACTCCCAAGAAATGCCCATAGACCTCAGGCTGCGGGGATATGTTCGCTGGCGATGTCCTCGAACCATTGATGTAGGCAACCAGAGAGGTTGGAGATGTACGGATGATTGTATTGAAGTCAATCCCAATGCCATCAGACAAAGGAGAGAGAGAGAGGGCTCTTTTTTTGGAGCGGGCTGAATGAGATCTGGTTGAAGAATGGCGAGGGCTTGGGTAAGGGGAATGGTTATTTTCCATACCAAACAAGTAAGAGGGTAATGAGTTAGATACACTGTTGTTGGACATGGATGTTCCAGGTGGCATACTCAGTATGTCCCCTAGCTCACTGCCATTTTGAGATCCTTGGTTGGAAGGAAGGGAAGGAAGAATCCTGTAGCCATGAGACCACTCATGTTTCACACTCAGTGTTGACTGACTTTCTGACAGACTTAATGTTGTAGAGGCCAGAGACTCACGTGACATGAGGGACCTGGAATAAAGGCAGGAAAAAGAAAGACAGGGGTTTTAGAAAGTCACCTTAAAAGTTTGGTTCATAAATTTATATATTACTAATATACTAGTTCTTCTATTTTCTCTCAATTGACATAGTCTCACATAGTGTCATAGCAGGGACAATTTTTTTTAAAGTGCCCTCTAATTTTATGTTTTCAAGGGTTTGCCTGCTCAGTTACTACACCTGCAGGCACACACAGGCAGTGCATGCATATGCTGGATAGTTCAGAAGCCAACTGAAAATCTGTAAAGCACTTTAAGAGTCTTGGATGAAAGTTACTCTATACGCCCCTGGATCCTGCACGACTGAAGTCAAAGGAACTTTGTCATTGACTTCAGTGGGAGCACAAGCAGGCTCTGAGTGCAAAACATTATGCTTCCACTTCTTATTAAACAGATATTAACTTCTGTTGAGTTGACCTGCCTATCCATCCTTTTTGGTGGCAGGTGTTGGTGGAGAAAATAGGAAGCTGATGAATAAGCAGACAAATAAGTATTAAACACAAAGGAAATTATAGACTGTAATGGATGCAAGCTGGTAAAATATCACTCTTTTTTAAGGATATAACTCAAGCTTAAAATGCAAATAATATCTAACTGTACAAAATCACAATAAATGAATTAAAATAAAGAAGAGCAACAGTTGAGGAGTTTTAGTTTTGTTTTTATGATGTTTCCACAGCTAAGTCAGAACAAGTGTTTCAGAAATTCTCACCTTCCCAATCTTGTCATATAAATTCTTCCCAGAAATATCAGGAAATTTGCTTACACCTGGGATTTCTTAAGTGTCACCCTAACATCTTAAGCCAATAATGGCACTGGTTTCCACAAAGAGGCAGGAGGAGGAGAGGCAGGGTGGGGCTACAAATCCTAGGTCCAGCACAGACTTAAGCAAGTCAGTTAACCTCTCTGGGCTTTGGTTCCCCAGCTGTAACATGGAGATAGTAGAACTTCCTAGCTTGAGGGTGTTGGGAGGATAAATTCATTAATATTTGTGAAGTACTCAAAGAGAGATGGGGTGATGGGGGCCTTATAAGTACCTAGACATACAGGCAGATATCATTGGTTAAGATAGTTATAGCATGTGGGTTCAAGTTAAATTGCTGGATTTGTTACTTTCACTGCATATTTTGTGTTTTTAAGAAGCACAGAGTTTTGATTAAGGCACTGGACCAGTACTCAGGAGATCTGGCTTCTACTCCCAGTTCTGCCACTCACTTCTTGTGTGACTGTGTGCGAGTTACTTAGTCTGTATGAGTCTCAGTTCCCTCTCTGGAAAATTAGGTTAATAGCTTATCTACCGCACAAGGCAGAGGCTAAATTAATTAAAGCTTGCGGGTGGGAGGGGAGTTTACAGGCTATGATGAACACCATAAGAAAAGTACTAAATAATGAAAAAATTGTCAGAGCACTTAGCCCCTGGGATAAGCATTTCTTTCTGTAATTTAATCTAAAGAACTATGCCTACCTGGATGTTATGCACATATACTGCCATAAACAATTGGTTAATATTATTTTACTATGCACTTTTATTGTTCAAAAATTACAGTAAGAAAACAAAAACAAAAAAGAGAAATAAACCTCATCTGATATTTGCATTTACACCTCTACCTCGATATAATGCTGTCCTCGGGATCCAAAAAATCTTACCGCGTTATAGGTGAAACCGCGTTATATCGAACTTGTTTTGATCCACCGGAGTGCGCAGCCCTGCCCCCCCGGAGCACTGCTTTACCGTGTTATATCCGAATTGGTGTTATATCGGGTTGCGTTATATGGGGGTAGAGGTGTATTCCAAATATTGCTATGGCAGGCAATACCAGGTGGCGCTATTACACATAGTCTTCCAAGTTCTTGTTCTTAGGGTGCAAGCAAGTTTTGACTCTGGGGAAGACATGCTGCATTGCCGTTCTGTTTGAGTTATGCTCAGTCTTTGTGTAGATACAGTTTCAAGAGAGAGGGAGCTGTGCAAGCACCAGGAGAGATTGTTCTCTGCCTTGGTATCTGATTAGAGTCAATTCTTGAGGAAGAGTTCTGCCCTAGGAACCAGGCACTGGGGTGGGGCTGAGATTGCCCTGCATGTTTTTTGACCATCTCATCTCAGAACTGGGGTATGCGTGTAATTAAAGGAAATGACAGTGAGAGTATACCCAGACGCCACATCTTTAATCTTTCCTCCTCTGGAAAATCAACTTACAAAGCCCCAGAATTCTGCTATTATTTGGAAGAGGTACAACACTAATGTCATAATGGGACAATGGTGTCAGAAGTAGGGGCAACACTCAATACAAATAAAGCCAAAATTCCATCTTTAGTTGTACTGGTACTGAATGTATGTGAAAAAGATATAGATATATAGTTCACAGTTTTGCTATCAGTTTTGATTAAGGCTAAATCCTAATCCCATTTAAATCAAGAAGATTCTTATCACTGAATTCAGCGTGAGCAGGAACAGCTCTAAACAATGGCTGGTGTGATATTTCCAGTGAATGAGGTAAAGTTTACCAAAGCTTACACAAATGATGCAATTGTATGCTGGCTGTCCTTGACATGATTCTGTTTGATACTACAACTTTCCACCTCTGAGATTGGTAAATTTTTTATCAGATTAGTCAAATTGGAAGAGTGTATGAAACACTAGACAAGAGAAACTTAGATGGCTTTTGACACTGAATTCTACACAGTTATACTGTTTACAGTTGAAAAATCCTCAGTGTTTGTTTTTACTGAAACATTTACTCTCCTTAACCTGGGAGGCAGGGCCTGTTTGAGTTCTCCTGTTGTTTAACATAACAAGCATTTTACAGTGGTCAGGAGTCAATTGATCAAAGGCATCAGCTAACAGTAATTTGGGCTAATTGAGGGCTAGACTGTACCACAAGGACAAACCACTCCAGGAGCATCTCAGGAAAGAAACAGACTCAGGGAGTCATAATTGCCTCCCTGCTTCAAGGAGATAGTAAGTTGCAGCTCCCAGGGACTCTCTCAGCTCTGCTGGCTGATGTGCTTTGTTGGGATAGGAGGTGGAGCTACCTATTCACTGCCACTCCTCAGCCAGCTGTTCCAGAGTGGGAAGTAAATGGCTTTGCAGCATCCCGAAGTTGCTTCTGCATGCCTGGTCCCAAGGTCCAGTAGACCACACACTAATGTAAGGGGAGAACTCTTGCTTTTGTTTAGGCACTTGCAAGGGCCCAAATTCTAGGCTGCAGTGTAGCTCTGAATACTACTATGATGTGGCCCTAAACAGATTTTCCCAGATGTACTTACTCTCTGCTGAATAAGCAAGTAAAGTGTAATAACATTTGATTTTTACGTGGTAGGCTGAGTATTTCTCTAGAAAATAAAATTGGGGTTTTTTTAGCTTAATTAATTTGGCATGGATATTCCTCCTTTACATATAAACCAAAAATTGCCCATTCATAAACCAAAAAATGTGCATCAGGCTCAGGCGCATTCAGAAAGATATTGAAATGTTTTAAATGCAAATGGGTGCTCACGTTAGTTTATTTTTAAAAAAATGTTGCATTTTATAAATTTAAACTTGATTATGGCCAGAATTTCAAGTGTTCAGAATTCACAATTAGAAGCAGACTGTCAGCAACCAAAATGCTGAACTCATTTGAAAATCTGTCCCACGCTGATGAGTAAATACTTACAGGGGACACTATATGTACTACTGTAAAGACTGAGCATCTGAAATAGTTATATAATACAGAGATCCAGATCCTCAGTTGGTGTAAATTGGCACAGCTTCATTTACTTCACTTTATACCAGTTGAGGATTTGGACCAGAATCTTTTAAGTTTACCTACAAGGCATTTCTATTTATGAATATAATTACTCATTCTCCCTATAATTTGAAATGCAACAGTACTGTAATATCAACTGCTGATTTGAACCTTAGAAGTAAACATGAAACAAGAGTGAAAACCTTGTTTTCCTTTACTCATGTATGATCTTTGTTTCCCCTGAAAGAACTCCCCGAACTTCCTAGGTCCCAGTACTGGTCCCATTGGGAAAATCAAAATGAAACATTTTGTTTTGGTCCATTTCAACATTAATTTGCACCAGGCTGAGCTGCCAGAGTGCATTATGGGGCATCACAGGAGATATAGGCCAGCCCAACTCATACAGAAGAATGGGGTCATGAGGCCCCCAACTACAACACACATATGACACTGCCGCAGCTTAAGCAGATGCAGTTTAATGTTGAACCAACCCAAAATGAAACATTTCAACATCTCTGAATTGAAACTTTTTGGAACAAGTTTCAATGTTTTGTCTTTCCATTCCAATTCAGGACAAAAACAAGTGTCAAAATATTGGAATTTCCGGTGGGATCCATTGGTGTTAGTTACTGGCATGTTATTAAAAGGAGAAATACAGGACCTTGAATTCTGACAGTTTGATGATTTCAGTTAATCTTTAGCAAATGTCTCTTTAAAATGAAATTACTCAAGTGAATTAAAATTCGGCAAAAGATGAGCCTAAAAATGGATACTTGGAAGGCACAACTTAAACTCAATAAAAGTGACACATTTAAATACCTGAGTATATACATATACAAAACACGCAAATATGGCTTTAACTGTAACTACATTATGACTGCTGTCACATTAATCATGATGGCTTTTGGCTCAGAGGCATGGCCTTGGATCTGAATGGCTGACAGTGACACACACTGGATGAGCAGTTAATTTGCAAGTTAGAAAACATATGGAGGCCCTACAGGCACAATCTTCAGTGGTAAAATGATGGAAATGCCCTCTTCACAATATAGCTTACAAATAGATGAAAACAAGGTTTCAACCTAGTCAAATACTAGTATTGTTTTTAACCATTTCAAGATAACTCCTGAATTTGCAGTCAAGTAATGAGATACAGTAGAAGATATTTTAAAAAACAGTAACAGTTACATTTTGTAAATTAAAAAAAATACATTTCAGCACTGAACACAATGGTAAGACCAGGGGTAGGCAACCTATGGCACGCGTGCCAAAGGCGGCACGCAAGCTGATTTTCAGTGGCACTTACACTGCCGGGTCCTGGCCACCCCTCCGGGGGGCTCTGCATTTTAATTTAATTTTAAATGAAGCTTCTTAAACATTTTAAAAACCTTATTTACTTTACATACAACAATAGTTTAGTTACATATTATAGACTTGTAGAAAGAGACCTTCTAAAAACATTAAAATGTATTACTGGCACGCGAAACCTTAAATTAGAGTGAATGAATGAAAACTCGGCAAACCACTTCTGAAAGGTTGCTGACCCCTGGGTTAGACACACTGACAAAAATTCTTAAAAGTACCTAAGTCATTTAGGAGACTAAGTCTAAATTTCAAAAGCACCTAAGTGACTTAGGTGTTATTTTTCAGAGTAGCAGCCGTGTTAGTCTGTATCCGCAAAAAGAACACGAGTACTTGTGGCACCTCAGAGACTAACAAATTTATTTGAGCATAAGCTTTCATGGGCTACAACCCACTTCTTCAGATGCATAGAATGGAACACAGAGAAAGAAGATATTTATACATACAGAGAACATGAAAAGGTGAAAGTAGCCATACCAATTGTGAGGGGCCAATCAAATGAGATGAGCTATCATCAGCAGGAGAAAAAAAACTTTGAAGTGATAATTGAGATGACCCATGGAAGGTGTGAGGATACTTAACATGGGGAAATAGATTCAATTAGTGTAATGACCATTCCCAGTCTCTGTTTAAACCTAAGTTAATTGTATCTAATTTGCATATTAATTCAAGTTTGTCTCTGTCTGAGGGATTGGAGAAAATGTGGTTGTATCTTCGAACTTGGCTGTATAGGGTGGTGTTTATTAAAATCATGGTGGAATTCCTTGAAAGCTTCTTTTCCATGGGTCCATGATCATCTGGACCCATGGAAAAGAAGCTATCGAGGAATTCCACCATAACTTTAACAATTCCCATCCCACCATCAACCTCAGCCTAGACCAATCCACACAAGCGGTCCATTTCCTAGACACTACTGTGCTAATAAGCGATGGTCACATAAACACCACCCTATACCGGAAACCTACTGACCGCTATACTTACCTACATGCCTCCAGCTTCCATCCAGGACACACCACACGATCCATTGTCTGCAGCCAAGCTCTAAGATACAACCGCATTTGCTCCAATCCCTCAGACAGAGACAAACACCTACAAGATCTCTATCAAGCATTCTTAAAACTACAGTACCCACCTGCTGAAGTGAAAAAACAGATTGACAGAGCCAGAAGAGTACCCAGAAGTCACCTACTACAGGAGAGGCCCAACAAAGAAAATAACAGAACGCCACTAGCCATCACCTTCAACCCCCAACTAAAACCTCTCCAGTGCATCATCAAAGATCTACAACCTATCCTGAAAGATGATTCCTCACTCTCACAGATCGTGGGAGACAGACCAGTCCTCCTTACAGACAGCCCCCCAACCTGAAGCAAATACTCACCAGCAACCGCACACCACACAACATAAACACTAACCCAGGAACCTATCCTTGTAACAAAGCCCGACGCCAACTCTGTCCACATATCTATTCAAGTGACACCATCATAGGACCTAACCACATCAGCCACGCCATCAGGGGCTCGTTCACCTGCACATCTACCAACGTGATATATGCCATCATGTGCCAGCAATGCCCCTCTGCCATATACATTGGCCAAACCGGACAGTCTCTATGCAAAAGAATAAATGGACACAAATCTGACATCAGGAATCATAACATTCAAAAACCAGTGGGAGAACACTTCAACCTCTCTAACCACACAGTGACAAACTTGAAGGAGGCAATTTTGCAACAAAAAAACTTCAAAAACAGACTCCAAAGAGAGACTGCTGAACTTGAATTAATATGCAAATTAGATACAATTAACTTAGGTCTAAACAGAGACTGGGAATGGTTGGGCCATTACACTAATTGAATCTATTGCCCCATGTTAAGTATCCTCACACCTTCTATGGGTCATCTCGATTATCACTTCAAAGGTTTTTTTTCTCCTGCTGATGATAGCTCATCTCAATTGATTGGCCTCTTACAGTTGGTATGGCTACTTCCACCTTTTCATGTTCTCTGTATGTATAAATATCCTCTTTCTGTGTGTTCCATTTTATGCATCCGAAGAAGTGGGCTGTAGCCCACGAAAGCTTGTGCTCAAATAAATTTGTTAGTCTCTAAGGTGCCACAAGTACTCCTGTTCTTTTTAGGTGTTACTGAAAATGGTACAACTTCCTAAGTCACTTAGGCACTTTTGAAAATTCTACCCAGTGTTTATACAACTAGTCTATCAGGGACATGCTATATTAGTAGTAAAATGGTCTATATAACAGTTCTTTTCTTTCCTTAATGTCTATGATTCTATAATATTTTCATTTGCAATGCCAATAGCCATATTTTAGATTACAAATTCATGGAGACACTGCACGATGAGTTTGACATTAGTATAATTTGGTAAGCACTGGCACAACATACAAAGCACTGTACCATACATAAAATACAGTGAAACCCTGCACCAATTGGATTTATTATTAGGAGTTTTGCTGTTTCCATCCCACAAGTCACCTACTGAGCTACAATTTTTCCATTGTCAAAAAAGTAATTTTTTTGCAGTTATGAAAGTCTTCATTCAGTAAAAGAACTACAAAGCATGGAAGCTTTGGACCAAGTTCTGCTCTTAAGTTTGTTCTATACCTAAAAGCTATGTGGGCATAGTTATGTTGGCCTGGGGTGTGAAACAAAACCCACACTCCTGACCAACATGGATATGCCAACAAACCTCCCAGTACAGATGCAGATATGTTGACGGAGAAGTGCTTCTGTCGACATAGTTAATGTCATTCAGGGAGGCAGTGATCCCACCTCAACAGAAAAATTCCTTCTGTCACTGTAGGCTGCAGCTACACCAGGGGACTATACTGGCATAGCTATGCCACCATAGGCTTTGTAGTGTAGACATAGCCTTAGTTACAGTGCTGTAAATCCAGACTAGCATCATTGATATAATGGATCAGAGTAACTCCATTTACACTTATCAGAACAGGTTGTGTTTAAGTACTTAAATGACAGTAAAATGAATATGCTTTTTTGTAATACTGAAGAGAAGAAATGTAACTCAGGACCTTGTATCTGATGGAGGTATATTCAGGTTTGAAGCATTCATAGCCCTCTGTAAGCTAGGACTGATCTGGTTGCATGCTGTTGAGACCTGGTTTGCAGGAGGTGATATAGGTCCCAGTCGCTGAACCATCATGGGACTGCTGGTGACAACTAGATTGTTGCAGCTGCCTTTTCCAATGGACTTGCCCCGAGGCCCATAGCCAAGACCTCCTAAAAATAAATGAGGCAGATTAGTTTTCATGTCTCTTTTACACATGACAAGAACAGAGAATTCACAATTATGTTGTGCCCATTTCTGTGGTACCAGTGAGGAGAAATTACAGGAATTGAGCATGTAAGATGATTGAGGGCCCTATAATTTTCTGCAAATATATAAAGCGATGTTCTAAAGTGGAATCAGTTATGCATGCTAAATCAAACAAGGACAGAATGAGAACGAACAGACTTGAGTAGCAAGAGGGACCATCTAAGGTTAAATATTGGGAAAACCACTGTAAGAACAATCTGTGTCAAAGAGCAAGCTGCTGAAGAAGGTTACACAATCACTTTAACTGGAGTTATTCAAAGTCAGACAAGACATCCAGGAATAGTTGAGCCATAATTAGGGACTGGTTGAGTCCATCCCTGCAGAGCTCTGGGGGTCTGCCCACATGCACATCCTCCATCCAGAACCCTGCTGGGAGTGAGAGGCACTGCTCCACTGCACCGTTAGTATCATTAGCTATATGAAAGGACTGGGGATAAAGGCGGGCCCATATCTCCTTAGCCCACACAGACAGCAGAGGTGTAGAGGGGAGTGCATGTTGCACACTGTGCAAAGTGAGACAGACCTGCTGTTGCAGCCTGCAGTCTAAAGGAAGTTTGGAGCCCTGGGAGAAATTCTAGCTGAGTCAGAGTTTCTCTTAGGGCTCCCACTGCAGAGAAGAACTTCCCAGAGCTCCTTCCTACCACACATAGCTAGTTCTTTAAAAGCCTTTAATCAATATTGCCATGATTCAAATTGATGGACTATTATACAGCAGTATGGGAAACTATCAGGAGTGTAGGCAAGTGGGACATAACCACAAAACATTCAGAATATTTTGTGTCCTAAAGATAATGATTTAAGACTACAGAAGGGAAGTTTAACAGCTCACTTTTGTTCATAGAAGAGAAGATGAATGAGTTTAAATACATGTCAAGTACATGAAAGGCAGATGATATAAAGTAAATAATCCCACTGACATTACAGTTAGGTATAAGTACTAAAATTATTTATATCTCTATTTGTTCTTTGTTCCAAATCCTCCCCAAGCCAGAAAGGAGAACACAAGGTGAACACAATGAGAAGTCCTGGATCTTATCTCCCACTCCATGAGGCTTCCACATTAACACAACTCCTACTTTCTTCCTATTTAAAATAGTTATTTTTGCTGCTGTTCCCTCCTTTCTACCAAGAGTTTTCTGTGTTCCCATGTGAGGCACAGGGTCCATGCGTACCTAGGACTGACTGTTGGTTCAGGCTCAGAGAGAAGGATACCACCTACTGAATCACCATTTCCAGCAGCACCTGTGTGTGTCCTATGGATTTCACCAGCTGCTAACCAGACTGTGCTTTGCTTGTGCAACCTGAAAGAATCAATCCACAAGGCAGCAGGGCTACATATAAATTACAAGCATTGGCAACTTTCACACTCTCTTTCCATCCCTAATCTAACAGCAGAATGACAGTAATTTACTAATGATCTGACTGGCTATAGTTTAATACTCTGCCAAACTGTTCTCTGCAGAACAGGGAAAATGCATTAAAAACCACCATAATAGTCAAAGAGCATGAAACAGGCCCTGAAATGCTCCAAGTAAAAATGTTAAAAATAGCACTGAAGCACAGGAAGCTTTTATAGAGTTCTTTATGAGTGGGGATCACATTCATGGAAAGGGGGTTGGAATCCCTGAAAGTGAGTATCTAAAGATAATTCCATATAGCACATCTTAGCACTACCTATAGACTCATAGAACCATAGGGTTAAAGGGACCGCAAGGGTCATTTAGTCTAACCCCCTATGAAGATGCAGGATTTGTTGGATCTAAACCATCCAAGACAGGTGAAAACTTTTGAAAACCTCCAGTGAGGGAACTTTCATGTATCAAAACAGCAGCTCTGTGGCTGTAAAGGAAAATCATGCCTCACCAATCCATTAGAATTCTTTGAGGGGGGTCAACAAACATGTAGTATGGGTGATCCAGTGCATATACTATACTTGAACTTTCAGAAAATCTTTGATAAGATTCCTCTCCAGAGGCTCTTAAGCAAAGTAAGCAGTCATGGGATAAGAAAGAAGGTCCTCTCATGGAGCAGCAACTTGTTAAAAGACAGGAAACAAAGAGTAGGGATAAATGACCAATTTTCAGAGTGGAAAGAGGTAAATAGTGGTGTCCCCCAGGGACCAGTGCTGTTCAACATATTCGTAAATGAGCTGAAGAAAGGGGTAAATAGTGGCAGATGATACAAAATTAATCAAGATAGTTAAGTCCAAAGCAGAGTTACAATGGGATCTCACAAAACTGGGTGTGTGGGCAACAAAATGGAAATTCAATGTTAATAAAATGAAAAGTGATGTGCACATTGGAAAACATAATCCCAACTATACATACAAAATGATGAGATCTAAATTAGCTGTTACCACTCAAGAAAGAGATCTTGGAGTCATTGTGGATAGTTCTCTGAAAATTCAATGTGCGTGGCAGCCAAAAAAGCGAACAGAATGTTAGGAACCATTAGGAAAGGGATGGATAATAAGACAATAAATATCATAATGCCACTATGTACATTCATGGAATGCTCATATCTTGAGTACTGCATGCATTTCTGATCACCCTTTCTTAAAAAAGATATATTAGAATTGGAAAAGGTACAGAGAAGAGCAACAAACATGATTAACGGTATGGAACAGCTTCCATATGAGAAGAGATTCAAAATACTGGGACTGTTCAGGTTGGAAAAGAAACAACTAAGGGGGGCTATTATAGAGGTCTATAAAATCATGAAGGGTGTGGAGTAAGTGAATAAGGAAGTGTTATTTATTTGTTCACATAACACAGGAACCAGGGGTCACCCAATGAAATTAATAGGCAACAGGTTTAAAACAAACAACAGGAAGTACTTTTTCATGCAACGCACAGTCAACCTGTAGAACCCCTTGCCAGGGGATGCTGTGAATGCCAAAACTATAACTGAGTTAGAAAAGAATTAGATATATTCATGGAGAATACTCCCATTAATGGCTATTAACCAAGCTGGCCAGAGACGCAACTCTAGGTGTCCCTAGCCTAGAAGTAGCGAGTGGAAGACAGGGATGGATCACTTGATGATTGCCCTTTTCTGTTCATTCTCTTTGAAGTACCTGGCATTGTCCAATGCCAAAACACAGGATACTGGGCTAGATGGACCATTGGTCTGACCCAGTATGACCATTCTTATGTTCTTATGTACACCTGCCTCTGGGGGTTACTATGAATTCTTCCCAGGGAGGCTCAGCCAAATCCAAAGAAAACAGAGAGGGATTTTTTTTCTTTCTTGGCTAATCATTTGCACTTAGTCCTAAGCAAAGAGTAAAGAACTTACTATTTAATAGATGTCCCTATGTTTTGGCTGAGTTCTGACTGGAAACAAGTCAGGAAAATAACATAGGTTGCCCCCTGTCTTCTTGGCAATAATATGCACTTTTTTGCACCACACCAAAAATAATTCATCAGCTGCTGTCATTTTATAAGGTTTTTCTATTTTGGGGGAGCTCAATGAGTTTTCTGTATCATAAGGGACAAATGGGTTTCAAAACAACAACAACAACAACAAAAAACTGGAAAAGCATGCTATAGTAACAGATGAAACCAATTGTAATTTGCTAGTATATCACAACTGTGATATATATTCTTTCCCCTATATACAGCCTCTGTATATAGGGGAAAGAAAAACAGATTAAGTGATTTGTAAAGAAAATGCATAATTTAGCTCGGTGAACTTGTTTTTTAGCTTTGAAAAGAAGAGCCCTGCTTCAGAAACCTGGCAAATGCAATCTGATATTTTCTCAGTGCTACACACCCTATGCCACTCTCTAGAAATGTTAAGCAACAATAACAAAATCCACTTTCTTAAATTCAAGGAGAGAGAAGCAAGAAACCAAAGACTATGAGATTATCAGGTTTCTTTGGGGGGACAGGCCATATTTTTGTTTATCTGGTCAAATGAAAATTTGAAACCATACAATTAGACTGTTGTTTATACATGATTAACCATGAGCTCATTGGAATTTACCTGCCAAAAAAGTCAGAAAGGTGATCAGTGCAAAAAGAAGCTGTTAAACAAAGAGACACAAGCCCCACAATACATTACATTGCACTTTTCACTTGTGAGTAAAGGGTCTGGTCTTTCAGTCCCTATATTCATGTAACTGTTAATGGGAAACTTTTGCCTTTCAATTCCTCTAACTCAGAACTGGAAGGGAGTGAATATTGTCTGTGGTAAATTTTTTATTATGCTTTTGTTTTTTTGAAGAAGGGGTGGGGTCACAATCTCGACCATCAAAGAAACATTAGTTATCAACTAGGAATCTGCTATCATCGGCTCTCACCATTTACGTTCCTTTGTTAACGCACGGTGAGTGTACCGGTGGGTATAATATACTACCAAAGCAGAAAGGTAGCATTTTACACTCCCTTTACACAGATGTAAATGATGACACAGGTTCAGTGGAGAATCAGCCCTATCTTCTTTAACTCCAACTGAAATCAATGGGAGCCTTTCCCCCGACTTCAGTGCATTTTGGATTAGGCCTCAAATTCTAAGGAAAACTAACATTTATGAAACAGTGAATAATATTCATTATTTGAAACGATAAGAGGATCCTATTTCGCCTCTCACTCATACTGGTGTAAATCAGGAGATACTCCAGTGAAGTCAATGGAATCATACTCATTTAAAACTGGTGAGAAGGCAGAATTGTTCCAGAATTGGCTGAAAGGAATAATTGCAGATAAGTAGTGAATAATTTATTCCAAATCAACATAATACATGTAAATCAAAACAGTTTCCCCATCAATAATTAACATTAATAATTAACAAGTGTAAACAGTAAAAATATTTTATGGAAATATTTTAATCCATCCATTTCCTCATTCCTCAGCCTGACTATTTCCTTCTTTACCCTTTGTATTTGGTTAATAGCTAAGCC